TTCTATATTCAGCTTTTTTGAGGAAATGCCAAACTGCCTTCCAGAATGGTTGTACCAAAGTTCTACTTCTTTAAGTGGATATACATCTTCTTTCTCTTCTGTCAGTGACCCAACTGAGAGCATTCTATGTGCTGGGCGTTATGTTAACTAGTATATTTCTGCTATTCACTTTGATAACTATATATTTCAAGGGAAGAACTAATAGACTTTCTCTCACAGTCTCTATTCTTGCTTTGGTCAGTACCCTTTTCCCCTTTGAACTTTAAGCCTGTACTACTCTCTCATTTATGATCTACCGTCTCCTGGTTTCCCTTTCAGATTTATCTAGTTCAAAATACACACACACACACCCCCCAACACCCCCCCCATCTTATCCGAGTTATCTTCACTCTCTTTTTGCGGAATGGATAGTTCTGTAGTCTAGCCTTCTGATTCCTTGATAATCTCATTTCTCTCAGCTTTTACCTCCATTCTCCTTTCTTCTTCTGCCTGCGTGGCTGTATCCTCTATCTCCAAAGTAGATGAGTCACTTTCTCATTTCCCTAGGTCTGTAGTGACTGGACTGCTTTGTCGTCCCCCCCCCCCCCACAAGTTCTTTACTATCTTCTTATTTCACTTTATCCTGAATCCAGCCTAATTAACACAATTTGGCATTTTATTTACTTGCCAGCCTCTTTGATAAGGAAAGCCCTATTCTGGATCAATTCAATATTAGCACTCCTTCATTTTCATCTCAACTTCTGAACATTACTAGCAGAAATACAAACCTATAGGATACAGTCAGATTCATGGTCTTCATTTAGACCAGCAATACTTACTAACAGGTTTGTGGTTTTTTTTTCCTTGTCTCTAGACAATTTCTATTTTCTATAGCACTTTAGAGCCTTTACTGTCAGCCCTTACGCTTTTAAGAGTGTCTTGTCTGTCTTCCTACTTGATAGAGAATTTTCAGACTGTTGAATCTGATTGCCTTCAACTTCTTAGCCCAGTTCCTACCTCCAGTACTGTATTCTACTTTTTTACCCATCTTTGCTTTCTTCTGTCCCATATTGGTGGAAAAGAAATTTCTTCTTCTGTTTAAACTTTTGATCCCTTTAACTCTATTTATTCAAGATGGCTATACCACTTATCCTCTTATGTTCTATTTTATATTCTGTTTACTTTCTTTAAATATGTTCAAGTTTCTGTTATATTTGGCAAAACAAATCTTTCCCATGAGGTCTTGTAGCTGTCTCCGTCTTGACTCTTCATTGCTGAACTTCCGGGCAAAAGTGCAGCTTGTCCATCTTAGCATTTCTTCTTATGTTTCATTCTTTTCTTCATTTAATTATATTTGACTTGGGATACCACTATTTTAGTGATATTCTTGTCACTCAGACTCTTACTTGCCAGAACCAGTACTTGGTCTATTCTTAATTTACCTCTTAGTTGTATTTGAAGCTATTGCCCACAAGTTTGAAACTTGCTCTCTTCTTCTGTGATTACACTTGACTATTTTTTTATTTTTGTCTTACAGGCCTTTGCTTCTTAGACTTCTTCACAATAGCTTATTTTTAAAAATTCAAGCCTCCCCCAAAATTAAAACATAATGTATCTTTGCACTTTTCCAAATTTCCCCAAAAGAATAACACCATGATCATAATTTTTAATGTATCCCTGTTTTCTTTGTTGTTCTTAGGGGATGTATATGTTTGTATTCACCACTAAAGACAAATCCACAGCTCATCAGTTCTCACTGTGATGGTGCCTCTATATCAGGCATCTGAGGCAGAATAGGAGGAGACTGCCTCCACCTTTTTCCTATGTAACAGCTGGTGGATTAGAACTTCCATACTTTTGGTTAACAGCCTAACATATAACACAGTAAAATTCTGTTTTCTAATACATAATCCACATTTAAACTTCTCTAATTATCTCTGTAATATCCATTATAGATGTTTTGTTCTGTTCTTAACATCCATTATTCAGTCACAGGTCACATATTTAATTGTCATGTCTCTTTACTTTCCTTTTTTCTAAGTTAAGATTTAACAGTTTTTACAGATTTCTTAGAGAAGTGCCATTGCAGTCTCAATGCATGGCCTTAGGCAATATATACCAAATATATCCCATTATTTGGGAAGGTTCAGTATAATCACTTGTTTATTATGGTATCTACCAGATTTCTCCAAAGTAGAGGTGCTTTTTATTCCTTTGCAATTTATAGATCATCTACAGAATGCTGTTTAGATTGTAACTATCCTAGTCCACCGATTGTTCTTTGGGAGAGAGAAGGCTGACTCCTCCCATAAAGATGTAAAGCCTCCGGAGCCTGGTGGAGGCCTCTGTGAATTGCAGTCAAGATGATGGCAATGAGCTTGGTTTTTGTATTTAATGCTCCTTTTCTCAATGGTTTTCTTATCTGTTGTGTTTTCTTAAATCGATATTACTGTGATGATTGTAAAATGGAAATAGTTCGCTTTTTAAAATCATTGTTTTTGTATTAGTGACAATTTTCTATAAAAGAACTTTCATACCTTTTACAATTTAGTTTACTCTCAAAAAAAAGATGTATTTCTCTTAGCATTATCTTATGACAAAATTACTAAAATTAATCCAAGTTCTTAGTTTAATTTTTAAAATGCCATCAGTATAGTTTTTCAGCATTTTTTGACTACTTCCTTACTTTGTTTATGAAATCCTGGTGGGGGAGGATGCATGTCATATATCACACTGCTAACCAAAAGCTTGGTGGTTTTAATTGACCAGCTGCTCACAGGAGAACAATGGGCAGTCTCCAACTGAATACATCCTCAGAAACTCAGTGAAAGTTGACTGTTAGTTAAAATCAACTCCTTGGCAGTCTTGCCTTACACTTGCCTTCACCTAGAATTGTCTTTCTCCAAAAAAAAAAAATCTTTATTTTCTTTTTGGTAGAGTATGATGTTTACAAACCAAGACCTGGGTGCTGGCTATGCTTCTTGCTAGTAAGATGTCATTTCTTGCTTTTCCAGTGGTCATAACCACATTTATTATTTTAATCATGGTTTCTTATTAATATATCAAAGCCCAGTCCAACTCCTCATTCCGTATTTGCATTTTTATTTTCCTCCACTGAAAACTTTGATAACATAAATCTGTAAATTTACTCAGTGGCCTCAATATTGCAACATATGAATAATAGTTTGGAAATTATTCTACTATAATAGTAGCATAAATACTACTGCTAGCTTAGGGAGTTCTGGTGGCCTAGTGGATAAGGAGTTGTGCGGCCAACCCAGAAGGTGGGGCAGTTGGAAGGTACCAGCTGCTTTAGTAGAAGGGGAAGGAACATGGTCAGTCTCCTGCTGTGTAATTTACAGCCTCTGAAAACCAGCTGGAGTGTTAAACAGTTGGTTCTGCTTGACAGTACATAACAACAATGGTTACACCTACAAATATTAGTATGGTTTAGTATTTCTTTTTGGTTCTTTTTATGCTTACCTGTAGACTAGTAAAGATATATAATCTGAAGTTCTTAATTGGTAAATACCTTTTTCTTCTTCTGTGATCAATGTAATATATAACTAAATTTGTTATATTTAAGTGTATTCTACCCTTATTGTTTCTTCTTATTTTGAGAATAAATAAGATATTAATGAGTCAGAAGTTAAAAATACCTGTTTTACCACCATAGTAGTAATATTTGACTTAATCAAGAAAATGAATGATAAACCATTGTGATTTTGCTAAAAAAAGTATATTTAGAAGTTCCATTTCTTTTCTGTTTCTCCATCTTACTAGCTTTTGCTTTATTTTGTGTTCATTGTTATAAATAGTTGACATCTGTATTTTTATTTTCTCTTTGTACACAAAAGATAGCATCCTGTATTACATTGCTGGATTATGTATGCTCTTTTAATCCTTTATCCATAGTATATTATGAATTGGACATTCTTTTTACAGCTTCTTTATACAGTATGTAGGTATTCCATAGAATTTCAGCCAGTATCCTGTGCATAGGCATTTGGATTTTATCCAGTATTTACTTTTGCAAATAATGTTATAGTTAATAACTTTGTATATTTGTTTTTTAATATTACTTCAGATTTACCATTAAGGTAACTTCCTAAAATTTAAACTTAACATGTTTAAAACAATATATTATTTTCCCCAATTTTTTTCTTCTATTTTCTGTTATTGAATGGCACCATTATCTATCTTACTATTTAAGCAGAAGCCAGGTAGCATCACTGCTTACATGTAGTTAGTCAGTGGATGTTAATGATATACCTGTATGCTCTCTTTCTCCCCTACCCTCCACATTCTTTTTCTTAATTACAGATCTGTCTGCTTGCCTAATTTACTGAACTAACCTAACTCACTGAATTGCCTCCCTAAAACTGTACTCTCTTACTAGAACTATATTTCTAGAAACCAAAGAAATCATTCACCTGAACATTTCTTTTTGCCTCTAAACAAGGCCTGAGAGTCTTTGCCTAGATACTCAGACTTCCCCTTGCCTGGCCCTTGCTTGCCTCTCCATTCTTCTTCTGACTGGCCCACATTCCTGTCATGCCTCATATAGTAGAATGCCTTTACAACTTTCATCTTAATGGCCTTTCAAGATAGGCAGGTTTGTGTCACCTCTGAGGAGGACCTCTTTCTGGGTCAATTGCAACTTTCCTGTTCACCAGCATCTTGTGCTCCATTGACTTGTCCCTGAGATTGTGGCTTCTGTGGGCTAAAGACTCTTATTAATTCTGCTTTCTTGGCACAGAGTCTGGAGTAAATATAGTTAGTAAATAATGAATAAACTTGATCTATTTACATATTTTTAACAATATGAATTTTCTCTGATTAAAATATTTTTCATGAAAAAATTCTAAACAATACAGAAATTACTTAAAACACTCTCTTGTGGAAAGTATGATTAATAATAGGTCAGTAGTAGTAAGAAAAGCGCAAAAATAGGATTTCTAGTTATTGTAGGATAAAAATGTTTATTATTTTGTTCTTATAGATCATCTCTTTTTCTTTAGGCAATGATAGTAAGAAATGCTAAAGATACAGCTCATACAAAAGCAGAACGGAATATTCTGGAGGAAGTAAAACATCCCTTCATTGTGGATTTAATTTATGCCTTTCAGACCGGTGGAAAACTCTACCTCATCCTTGAGTATCTCAGTGGTCAGTACACAGAGTTTGGTGTAATTGTTTGCATTTGCTCCAGAAACTGGGTCAAGTATTATTTTCCATTGGAAAAATTTTCTTTTCTTAGTATGATCGAGTTGTTCTTAAAATTGGCAAGGACATTGAAGATATGCAGGTTATGTGTTGCTGAAGGTTTCTATTTGTAGACATAAGTGAATGAAACTGAAGATTTTATCTCTAAAATGTTGCCTTAATCCCATTGCAATCACTTAACAAAATAAATACGTAATTGATACAGTGCCATCCCATTTATTTATGGGGGGATAAGATAAAATTGATATAAAAGCATCAAAGTATTCCTTCCTATTCTGAATTGGAAAACCTTATTGACAGTATTAAGTTAATGAATATTTACAGTTGCGTCTTTAAAAACTGAAGAACTGCTGGCTTAATGTAGCTTTACTGGTAGGAATCTCAGGTTATATTGGAAATTGTCAACTGGTTACTCTGTCATTTATAGATTACAAGTGTTTATTTCCAACAAACGCACTGGAGTTTTCTGAGAAACAGATTTCACAATAGCTATAGCATAAAACAGAAAGCTGCAGACTTTAATAGCTTTGCTTTTAACTGTTGCCATTTTAAAAACTTTATTTTGATATAATTTCATACTTAAATCAAAAGTTGCAAGAATACAAAGAAGTACTATATGCCTTTCATCTACATTCCCAAATATTATCATTTTACCACATTTGTTTTTATTTGTCTGTCTTTCTTGTCTTACTTTTCTACCCATAAGGGTATATGTATGTATATATGTGTTTATGTATACATATACACAACACACATTTTTTTCTGACCTTTTTGAGAGTTGCAGACATTACTCTGAATATATATACTGAAGTATATATATATTAAAATCAAGGATGTTATGTAATTGTATGGCTACAATTATAAAAATTAGAGGACTAATCTTGATAGATTAATATAATATCTTTCTTAATCTGGAAAAGGTCTTAATCTTTTCTTTCATGATCTTAAATTAACATTTTGAGGAGGATAGGCTAGTTATTTTGCTCTATGTGCATCAGTTTGGTTTTGCTTGATGCTTCTTCATCAGGAAACATGCATTTTTAGTAGGACCAAGTGATATGTCCTTCTCAGAACATCACATCAGGATGTACATTATCTTTGCCCTTTTACTAGTTGTGCTAAATTTAATTATGGGGATTAAAGGTAGTATATTTTTTCCCCTCCACAATGAAGTTTCTTTGTGTCGCTTTTTAATTACTAAGTATCTCTTGAGGAGATACTTTAGATTTAGTAAATATTCATCTCTCAACCTTTTCAATCAGTTTTAGTTTTGATTGATTATAATCTGAAACAATTAACTATGATAGTTGCCAAGTGATTTTCTTAATCTGTCATGCCTTCGTCATTCTTTACTTGACATTCTACTATTAAGAGTTCCCCCCATCAAAAAAAGGTTTCCCTTCCATTCCCCAGCTTGAAAAAGGATTTTTTCCCTTTTATTTAAATCATTATGGATTTGTTAAATCTAAGATTATTTTCTGTTATCTTTTACTGTTATTATTTATTTTGATTCTCAAATTGTACCATGCTTTTTACAAGGCTACTGCCGGATTATTATTTTTTTTTAATTGTGATTTTAGTGAAAGTTTACAGAAAGGATCGGGTTTTTGTTCATTCTCTAATACACATTTTTACTGCTGCAGATTTCTTAGCCTTATATAATTCTGAAAATTCTTGGTAATTCTCACGGCTAATTTTATTGCATACTAACATTTGTCTACTTGTAGGTAAAACATTCTATGGAGACTTTATTCAAATTCTCTTTTATGAACCTTGGACCTAGAATCTACAAATATTTTTGTTTCTAAGTGTAAAATCTAGAATTTCAAGCTGGTTATATAACATTTCCCATACAAATAAGAACATGCTAAAAATGGAAATCTGAGGGTTTGTTTTAGAAACCTATAATATTGAGACCAGTGTTTTATTTTAAGTGCTCTGTTGGTTTTAAAATTGTGGTTATAAGGAAAGAACAAACCCTCTTCTTGAAGTGAATTAGAAATAAAGATTGGGTTTTTTCTAATTTTTTTTTTTTTTTAACAGGAGGAGAACTATTTATGCAGTTAGAAAGAGAAGGAATATTTATGGAAGACACGGCTTGGTAAGTGAAATTTTTGTGGTTACATGGATTCAGGTAATGATTCATATAAGTAAAAGCAAAGCTTCACTAGAAACACTTTGGGTAGCCACATAATTCAGTAAATAGTTTAAGGCCAGTCAGTCAGTCGGGAGTTCTAGAGGGGAAGAAGAAATTATGAGACTGGGCAACTTTTAAAGGTCATATCATCCCTTTGATCCTAAACCTTGGGTGGAGCACTCTTCATGCCAGTTGCTCTCAGCAGATCCATTCATAATAATAATAAAGCTTTCTTTCCTTGAATTGGATCAGCCTTGCCTGTAGGTGAGTGTCATTTTCCAGTGCAACTTTATATGGAATAGTGGAAAGTATCGGAAATCACCTCCCTCTTTTTTCAGACTTTCAGGATTATTACATACATTGTATATAGACTGATTATATGGCTAAGATGGGATCTATTCTCCTCTTTTTAAAAATTATGATTTGGCCAGGTTGGGATCTATTCTCTTATTTCTTAGAATAGCATTTGCTTAAAATTTAAAGTTTCCATCTTTTTGTGAGCTGATAGAATTGGGTAACAGTTAATCCTACACATTAATTAAATAGAAAACAACACTTTAATGTTTTTTTCTACCTTAATTACCAAACTGCATTCCATTGTTTAATTTCAGGCCTTTTCTAACACAGAAGCTGCATTTAAGAGCCTTAGGGATGAAGTGCCCTTTTTTGGAGGAGGCTCTCTGAGCCCTGTTGGAGGCTGTGTTTGTGGTGGTGCTGGCTGTGAAACTGCCTCAGTCCTCTAGGACACTTCCTCTCCATCCTGGAGTAATCTGCAGGATTGCAACATTGTTATGCAGCCAGTATTGCTTGTGCTTTTCGTATCCAGACAGGGTTGACTCAGCCCTTTATTCTTTTGAGGTAGATAAATTTGAGTGTCACACAGTTTATAGTTGTGGGCTGGCTGGCAAGAGGGGGGGTAGAAATGTGGGCATAAACTGTATATAAATATGCAGCTAGATTAAGTAAGGGACAAGTGGGCTTCTAAGGGTCAGATTTTAAAACAGCTTTTGAGACTAAGACTTGATTTCAGAATAACAGTTCCTATTTCCTTCAGGATATCAAAATGGAGGGCGGAGGGGAGAAACTGACTTTGACCTAATTCCTACATAATAGAATAAGACATGATCAGTGATAGTTTGCCATACTCTGAATTTAATTTGCAATTTAACAGTATGTTCTTAATGATGAAATAAAATGTTTTCTAGTTTCTCTAACGTGAGTGAACCATAACTATCCATGCCTGTTGGCAGCAATTTATGCCATCTCTTTCCCCCATTTTCAAACCCTTTCCCCACTAATTTGGTCTTTGGTGCATGTCTGTTTCTTTCAAGGAATTTTGCTCCATACATAAGCTGCTTTTGAGTAGATGACACTTTTTAATTTTATTAAATCACTTTTGTTTCCAGCTTTTACTTGGCAGAAATCTCCATGGCTTTGGGGCATTTACATCAAAAAGGGATCATCTACAGAGACCTGAAGCCGGAGAATATCATGCTTAATCACCAAGGTGGAGATATACCGTAAACAATTTTATAGTAAATAATCATCTTTAAATCTTCCCATACAGGTCATGGCCATTTTCAAAGCCCCCCACATTCATCTATCTACTATATTTTTTTTCTCTTAGAATCTAGAGCATCATGATATTTGCTGTTATTTGGTTAATAGGTCCTTTGATTGATGAGATTAAACCTCATAAATCAAAGATTAATTTGACGTAATCTTTTCTTTTTATAGCTGATCATTCTTTTGAATCCTTACATACAAAGTGTGATGAACCAAATGCTAGCCCAGCCAGTCTGATTTGTTCCTTAAATTGAAAACTGAAACTTGGTTGTAAGAATGGATTTTCATTTGATGCTGAAAATGTATAGATGTTAGACATGGTACTCTATATGATTAATTTTGTTAATGCTAGAAAAAGTGATTGGAATAGAACCAGAGTATTTGATTCAGTCGTGGGAAAGAAAATGGTTAGTAGATGTCACTTTATTTTTGTTGTTTGGTTACCACAATAAGTAGAAACATCAGAGAGGCTAATATACAACAATATGTGAAACAAAGTGAATCTTCACTGCAGCTACATACTGCTTCAGACAGATGACTTTATGGTAGAAGAATGAGGCTTGGGTAGGCTTGGCAGTTCGCTTATACCTCAGAGGAGTACACCCCACGGTTTCTGGATAGCTGTTAGTGTTTGTAGGTTCTTAAATATCTGCAAATTGATGCATGAGGTAGTAACTGTTTTGCACTCTCAAACAGAAAATGTATTTGGAAAACTGAGTCTAGTATAATGTTGACAATTGTGCTTTATATTATTGCTATTCTTCAGAGGTAGAAATTACCTACTTAACCAGGTATGATACCAGGCGAGTCTTAATTCGCTGTTTCCTAGTTTTCTTGCTTTCCTTGTACTTCCATGTAGATCTTAATTGCAACAAAGGATAGAACTGAAGAATGACTATTTAACTTTTTGACCCATAAGTTTTAATGTGTCAGATGGTTTTTTTGAAAAAGAGATCATATTTCTTCTATGTAGTGTATATTTGAATCAATAAGCCATTGCCTTTCTTTGACATGAACCTGCAGTAATGGGACACCTGATTGATGAATGACTGAGTATCTAATGATAGTTTCGTAAAACTAATCCTGAACTGAAGTGTTCTTTGTGTAAGATAGTGAGTTTTTCAGTTCCTGGGTCTGAGATTATTTATTCTATGCCATATAGCAAATTGGTTTCTTTCTCATAGGTGGTAGAATTTGGCCAAATATGCTAACTTGTTTTGATGACTTTCTAAGACCATTTTTAAGAAATCAGAAGTCATGGTTCATTGTGATAAAAGCTGTATATCTCAAGTACAATGTTACGACTTTGTGAGGGGGTTCTTAAACATTAGGTTGTACATTTTGATGGGGGGGTGAGGGAAATTGAAAGAATTTGTTCAAATTTGTATTCGAGTTTTGTGCATAAACTAGTGGAAAAAAACCATACAAAAGCCAAAAAACTGTGTTTATAAACAAAAGTGTTTTTGTTAGGGTCTGTACACTTAAAAATTAGATTTCATCAAAAATAATAGTTTCCCCTAGATCTTTCCTGTCTCAGTCTTTTTTTTTTTTTTCCTGTCTCAGTCTTGATACAAAACAAGTACACAGTAATGTTGAATTTATGCTAGAATAATGTGAACTTAGGAGATGGGCAGTGCACTTTCACTCCAGAAAAGCACATATCCATCTAAGATATCTGTCTGTCTGAGTGGCTGATAGCAGCAGAAGATTCTCAGACATGTACAGAATGATGCATGCTATTTTAAACTCTTGAAGAGAAAATGATATAAACCCAAATTGTTGAGGGTTTTTTGCTAGCTATAGGCACTTAAAAAACAATAGCTATAGGTGAAACATTAAGGAAGCAGTTTCACTTATTTTTTTTATTTTCCCTTGCTACTTGACATCAGCAGCAGACTTACATATCTATCTTAGACGTAAAGATTTCATATCCCATTTATTGATGACACTTAGTTAGTCCTTGGCATCTTTAAATAAATTCAAGGGAAGGGAAAATTAAATTGAATGATAAATTGCTATCTTATATGTTATGCTCAAACAGTGAACATATTTAGAATCCTTAGAATAACCATGCTATAATTTTTCATTTTAGGTCATGTGAAACTAACAGACTTTGGACTATGCAAAGAATCTATTCATGATGGAACAGTCACACACACATTTTGTGGAACAATAGAATACATGTGAGCTGAATGTTGAAAGAATTCTATCTGATTTGGGGGTAATAGCTAACTTTTACCTACTTTATGGAATCATGTGCTTAGCTGTATGTAGTACTATATGACACCATATGCTTTTAAAATTCTAATTCAGATGATCTACAAGTGGGTGAATTTTGTATTTTTCTCTTTGTAGGGCCCCTGAAATCTTGATGAGAAGTGGCCATAATCGTGCTGTGGATTGGTGGAGTTTGGGAGCATTAATGTACGACATGCTGACTGGAGCAGTAGGTGCACAGTTAAAAGCTGCATGTGTTATGGTCTGTGCTGAGTGTTACTGGATCACTATAGCAAGAGACCTTCCATGGGTTTATTTAAAATGTCACCAGTGGAATTACTTTCAAAAGCCAACCATTTGTTATGAACAATTTTATACTTAAAATGCCTTATGATTACTACTGTCTTATACTTTTTTTCCATCTTGTACTTTTGAAAATATTTACACTTAAATGATCTGTATCATGACAGTCCAGAGAAATAGATACAGAATAAAAATTCCCTTTTTGTGGTAAATGGAGAAATTAATGCATAAACTCACAGGACTTGCCCATGATTTAGAAACAAACCAAAAGAGCACCACAGCCATTGAATTCATTCCGTCTTATAGCAGCCCTCATAGGTTAGAGTGCAACTGCCTCATAAGGTTTCCAAGGTTGTAATCTTTCCAGAAGCAGCCTATCACCACATCTTCTACATAGTGGCTGGTAGATTCAAACTGCGTTTTGATTGGCAAAATGCTTAACCACTGCATGACCAGGATTCTACCTTATGCAACAATATAATGATGGAAACTCAGATTTCTTTCCAGAACATTGCTGTTTGCTGTCTTGTCTTAAAAAACAAAACTCCCCTCTATAAACTTTCATTAAAATTAATAATAATTAAAAAAAAAAAAAGGAAAACCTCCCAAAAAATTACAGAAGTGCAGTAGCCATTTTCCCAGTGGATTTTTAAATTTCCACACATAATTGACTAATTCAGGAAAAGTGTACTTTTATAATTTGGTTTTTTTCATTCTCTTCTACACTTAGCCGCCATTCACTGGGGAGAATAGAAAAAAAACAATTGACAAAATCCTCAAGTGTAAACTCAATTTGCCTCCCTACCTCACACAAGAAGCCAGAGATTTGCTTAAAAAGGTAGGAGCCTTTAAACTGTTCTCTCCCTCATCTGTTTCAATACAGTATACATAATCTATACAGTTTTTCTCAGTCTTACCCCAACCCTGATGTCAGTCCCATGCAGTATTTGTCTTTCTGTGACTGAAATATTTTACTCAGCATAATATGATAGGATTTTATGGTTATCACAGGAATCCAGAATTAAGGTTTCATAGTGGAGTGCATTTGGGGTGGGGGATGGGGGGATTGTATACCAATGAAGGAGTTTATTTTTTGCTTTTCAAGAGGCGAGCGAACTGAGGGGTCGGGGGGTGTAGAGAAAAAAGTTCAACAATGAATGAATGGAAATCCAAAATCTCTGTAAATGTTCATTAAAATTAATAAAATAAAATTTAAAAAAGGTAGGAGCCTCAAATATTCTTCAACTTCTAGGATTTAGCTAGATAAAATTTAACATATAATTGCAATAAAGAACACAGATTCAGAATAGATAAGGCCTTCAATTTTAAAAGACAAAATACAAATTTATTTAAAGATTTTGTTTTCTCTATTCCCAAACACTATTTAGTGTTAGTCATTAAAATTTATTTTCTCAAGGCAAAATACATACAAAAGCAAATGTTGAGAAAAAGAAAGGAAGGAAAATCTCAGTTGGATTAAATAAATTTTATCAGTTTTTCTTTTCCTTTCCTCCCTAAAGCTGCTAAAAAGAAACGCTGCTTCTCGTCTCGGAGCCGGTCCTGGTGATGCTGGAGAAGTTCAGGTTGGGATTTGTACTTTGATGCTTTAGGGGCAAGATAATGCTGATTTTTATATTTCTGAAGGTTGTATAGAGTTGCTTATAAGTTTACCTTATTTTGTGGTTTTTAACTTGGCAGTTATTTTGTCAGTCCGGTGAAGCCCGTTCCCGTTGATTTTTCTTTCTACTCCTTTTTTCCCCCTAGGCTCATCCATTCTTCCGACATATTAACTGGGAAGAACTTCTGGCTCGGAAAGTGGAGCCCCCTTTTAAACCTCTGTTGGTATGTATACATGAGAGCATTTAAGTTGAGGGACATGGTACTGAGTAAGAAAAACTCAATGCATTCTGATGTACTACACTTATGAATAGTAAAAACTGGCCTGCTCTCAACAGAATCTTAATTCTGTGTAGTGCTTTTAAGAATTATTACCAGTCTGTAGAATACTCTAGCATCTAAAAAAGGACAGACAAGCCAAGTACAAAATAAATAGAAGATGGGAGAGACTCTTCACCAAGGAGGCCAATAAAACATATGAAGAAATGTTTAAGATTACTAGCTATTAGAAAGATGCAAACAAATAAAAACAACAGTGAGCTATCATCTTATGCCGGGAGCAATGGGAGAGTTTAACAGGATAGCAGATAACAAATGCTGGTGAGGCTATGGAGAGATCAGAACTCATAAAATGTTACAACCACCATGGAAGCCTTCGTTGGAAGACTGAAAACAGAAATACCATTTAATCTGACTGCCCACTACTAGGAATACACTCCACTGAACACAGAGATCTGACACAAGTGTATGCGCATTCATGTTTATTGCTGCATTATACACAGTGGAAGCAGCCTTGTTGTTGTTAAGTGCCATCGAGTTGCTTGCAACTCATAGTGACCCTATGTACAACAGCCCTAAACTCTGTTTGTCCTGTGCCAATCTCATTGTCTCCGACACACTCATCCTGATTACCCCAGTCACCAAATCATTCCATCTTCTAGAGGGCCTTCCCCTCCTGGGCCTGCCCTCCACCCTCCCAAGCATGATGTCCCTCTCCAAGGACTGGTCCCTCCTTACAACATGACCAAAGTATGTCAGATGAAGCCTCAGAACCCTTGCCTCCAAAGAGCAGCCCAGTTTAACCCTCTCCAAGATGAATCTGTTTGTTTTCTTAGCAGTCCATGGTACATTCAATACTCTTCTCCAGCACCACAGCTCAAAGGCATCATCAGTTCTCCTTCTATCGTCCCTAGTCACTGTCCAACTCTCTGACACATAACATGTGATTGCAAAGACCATGGCCTGTATCAAACATACCTTAGTCTCCAGACAGACACCCTTGCTCTTCAGTAGTTTGGAGAGGTCCCTAAAAGACTTTCCCATTGCAATACATCTTTTAATTTCCTGGCTGCTGGTGCCGAGAGTGTTGATTGTGGAGCCACGCAGACTAAAGCTGTGAACAATCTCAATCTCTTCACTATCCATCCTGAAGCTGCCAATTGGTCCAGTGGTGAGAATCTTTGTCTTCTTGACATTGAGCCTCAATCCATATTGGAGGCTGTGATCTTTGACCCTCTGCAGCAAGTGCTTCAGGTCTTCCTCAGTTTCAGCAAGCAGGGTTGTGTCATGTGCATAACACAGATTGTTGATAGGTCTTCCACCAGTCGTGATGCTGCATTTCTCCTCATAGAGCCCAGCCTCCTGGATGATCTGTTCTGCATACAGGTTGAAAAGGCAGGGAGACAGGACACATCCCTGGCGTACACCCTTCCCAATTTTGAACCATGCAGCGTTTCCTTGATCTGTTCTGATGACTGCCTCTTGATTCAAGTATAGTTTTTGTATTAGCACGATCAAGTGTTCTGGGATTCCCATTCTTCTCAGAGTCAGCCACAGTTTGTTATGATCCACACAGTCAAACGCCTTTGCATAATCAATGAAGCACAGATAGACATTCCTCTGGTACTCCCTGCTTTCAGCCAACATCCATCTAACATTAGTTACAATATCCCTAGTACCACGACCCCTTCTAAACCCAGCCTGGACTTCTGGCAGTTCTCTGCTGATGTGCTGTTCCAGTCATTTTTGGATAATCTTCAGCAGAATCTTGCTTGCATGTGAAATCAACAATATTGTTCCGTAGTTTCCACACTCTGTTGGGTCACCTTTCTTTGGAAGGGGAACAAATATAGATCTCTTCCAGTCAGTTGGCCAAGTGGTTGTTCTCCAGATTTCTTGACACAACTTAGTGAGCACGTTCAGGGCAGCGTCTGTTAGCTGAAACATGTCAATTGGTATACCATCTATTCTTGGGGCCTTATTTTTTTGCTATTTCCTTCAAAGCAGCCTGAACTTCTTCCTTCATCACCATAGGCTCTTGCTCATGTATTGTTTCATTAAACTCTTCTGTGTCTGCCAATTCCTTTCAATATAGTGACTCAGTATATTCTTTCCATCTTCTTTTAATACTTCCTGGGTGGTTTAATATTCTGCCTAAAGCATCCTTGATTATAGCAACTCGAGGTTTGAATTTGTTCTTCAGTTCCTTGAGCTTAAGAAATGCAGAGGGAGTTCAGCCCTTTTGATTTTCTGACTCCAGCTCCTTGCACATAGAGAAACTGGTATATTCACACAATGGAGTATTGTGCAGCATTGAAAAACAGTGAAGAGCTTGTGAAACACTGATCATGAATGTACACTAGTCTAGAGGACATTATGCTGAGTCAAGTAACTCAATTAAAAATGAACAGATACTGTGTAAGACCATTGTTATAAAAGAAGGAGGGTTCAAGAGTGGCACGAGCAGGAAAAGAATGGATAATGAATATTGTATTGGAACAGGTGAAAGGAAGATTTATCTGAATAGACAATCAGACATGAATAATGCAACTGGCTGTCTGAAACATGACATGCTTTATAGAATGAAGGATGAGGAAAGGGGGCATAAATCTGTATAAATGAGTGAATGAAAAACTAAATTCTTTGTAAACTTTCATTCAAATAATAATTTTTTTAAAAAGAGAGGAAAATAAAACCACCCCAAACTAGTACCTATAATGGTTACTGACAGTATTAACTATTTTAAACATAATTTTAATAACATGCAAATACTTTAAGAAGTTGGGAGCTTTTCTTTTGCTCTGCTTAATATTAAGTAAGCCCTTTAAAATTTTATTTTCTGGTAAATTTACATTTTCAAAATACACAACTTATGTCTTGTTAGTTTGTTAGTTATTGTGTTAGTTTTTTTCTTTTTCCTACCTCAGAATTGGAGAAAATAGAGTTGCGTTTTTTGTTTTTGTTTTAATCTTGGAACATAAAAGAAAAGGAAGATTATTATTGTTTGGTCTTGGAGCAAAAGGTGCTTTACATCAAAATTTTTGCATATATGATAGTATGGAGAAAAATTTAACCCTCATGTAGCTACTACTCTGCTTCTTAATAAATCATCAACTTACTTTATTTAAACATCAATTTAGCTTAACATAAACTTACCATGACATTTTTTTCCTTTTTGCTTTCTCCTGTTGGCTTATTTCAGTAAGCACTCATTCAAGCTCTAGACTTTGGTTACTATGTCTTTTAAGTCTCTTTTTTTCTTATTTAGATTTCTCCCTCCCAATTACCTCCTTAGGAATTTGTTGCAAAAACTGAGGGTTTGCTCTGTTGAGTTCCTCATACTTTGATTTTGCTGATTTTTATCCCTGTAGTGTCATTCACTATGTTCATTTGTTCCTGTCGTTCTAAGAAACTGTTGTTATGTACCATCATGTTCAAAGCAACTCACAGCTGACTCTCCAGCAGGTTTTTATTTATTTTTTTTTCTATATTTTATTAATTTTCATAAACATTTACAGAGATTTTGGGTTTCCATTCATTCATTGTTGCACTATTCTCTCTACCCTCCTCCCAGTTTGTTCTTGTCCAAATGCCACAGTGCTTGTCAAAGCCAGTTCTGATTAATCTTCTTTTCCAGCAGGTTTTTAGAGGCTGTAAAGTGCATGGGTGGAGATTGCCCATCTTTTGCTCATGGAGCAGTTGGTAGACTGGAGCTACATGCTTTGGTTTGGCCTGGTAGTATAACTTTTTACCTCTAAAGCAATCAGACTTAAGAACCTGGTAGTTAGAGCTTTTGCTTCATCCAATTCAGATTCAACTTTTGATGTTATGTAATTTGTTCTGGAAGCATAATGTGTGTAGTTATATTTCATCCAGTGATAATACCCAACATAGAGCTTTGTCTTTATAGTTTCTATCCAGGAATGATTTTGTCCCCACAAGAAATTTAGCTACATGTGTTGAGGCATTTTTGGTTGTCACAGTTAGAGACTGGGCTGGTTTTGGTATCAGGGGAATAAAGGCTACAGCTGCTAAATGCAAGGGTAGCCCCCGCAACAGGTTCAAAGTGCCATTGGTACTGAGGCTGCTCACCTAGTTTTATGATTTTACTAGAGGTTTACAATATAGTCTTATTCCAATACTGTTGCTCATTATCTATTCACTGAAATTCTTCCATAAAGAAACTTCTTTTATTAGTTGCTTAGTTACACAAGATACAGTTCACACCGGAAAGGCGGGACAAATGTGTGGCTTTCCTGATTTTCAAAATAATGACATTATTCCTTAACATTTTCATTAACCAGCCAGTGAATTGTAAGGTGTTTTTTAGTATCATTTTTTTTTTAAATTTTTTTGTTTTTTTAGTATCATTATGATACTAAACACACACACACAAAACTGCAGTTGAGTTGGTTCCAACTTCTAATGACCACTATGTTTCGAGGCTATACTTGGAATGGGAAGAGACTGTCCATATTTCTATCTTGGAGCCACTAGTGGATTTGAAACACAGATACACACCATCAGAGCTCCCTTTACATTTTACGATATGTTGTTGTTGTTATGTGCCGTCGAGTCATTTGTGACTCATAGCGACCCTATGTACAACAGTCCTAAACCCTGCTCTATCCTGTGCCAGTCGCAGTGCCTCTGACACACCCATCCCGATTACCCCAGTCACTGAATCAGTCCATCACAAGAGGGTCTTCCCCCCTTGCGCCATCCCTCCACCTTCCCAAACATGATGTCCCTCTCCAAGGACCTGTCCCTCCTTGCAGCATGCCTAAAGTATGTTAGACGAAGCCCCAGAATCCTTGCCTCCAAGGAGTTGCTTGGTTTAATCCTCTCCAGGATGAATCTGTTTGTTTTCTTGGCAGTCCATGGTGCATTCAATACTCTTCTCCAGCATCACAGCTCAAAGGCATCAATTCTCCTTCTATCCTCCCTACTCATTGTCCAACTCTCTGATGCATGACAAGTGATTGCAAAGACCATGGCCTTTATCAGGAGCACCTTAGTCTCCAGAGAGACACCATTGCTCTTGAGTACTTTAGAGAGGTCCCTAACAGCAGACTTTCTTTATATTAAATATATATGTTTATATTTCTTTTAAGACATTGTAGTTCTTTTTATTATGCTTCAATTTTCCCTATATTTGGACATTGGCTGCTTCTTCATGTTGTTTCTTGAGCTCTTTTTTGACAAGACCACATAGTCTTCTGCTGTACCACCTAACAAAATGTGGAAACTGATACTTTGTGTTCATCTTGTCTATTTCCTATCCACAGCTGGAAACAGCCATTTCTCGAAGGAATCCTGGTTCCTTCTAGTGGGAAATAGAATTTAGAGATCACAACTTGGGCTCTAGGTGTGTTCAGTGCTACAAAGTTGATCATTGTTATTCTGTCATTGATGTTAACATGATAATATCCTAGTATTAAGCTAGTTTTCCCAAATTAGTATTTATTTCCTATATCTGACCTAAGAGTCTGGATACATTGGGAAGAAAGACGGAGTTAAAGAAATCATTCTGGTGAATAGAATTGAGATGATAATATTCTACTACAAGGAAATACACTCAGCTAGAATAGGTTATTATTTTTAGCACTTGGAAAAATAGAAAGGATTATAATAAACTAAAGGAAGAAACTTTAACTGGAGTTATCTTACAACCAAAATTTGTGTTCTGTTTCTGCCTTGGTGGTTTTACCAGTTATTATTAATATGCTGTGACCGTCTGAACAAATATTACATAAGAAAAGATTTAGCCATTGGACTAGAGAAATGGAGCTTTTATGAGAGAAGAAAACAAAATCATATTTTTAAAGGGAATGATAACTGTGTGTGACAATTTAGTCTTTTATATGTATGTTTAAAATGTGAAGGTTTAAATTTGTCATTCATACTCCTCACCCGCATTTAATTTTTATGATGTACCTGCTACGATTATTTTGATACTTTTATACAGCCAAACCCTATGAGAGAACTATCTTCCCTAATGTATGCAGTACATTTGATTGATATGTGTATTGTCCTTTTTTATTCATTTTGTTTTTATAAAGCAATCTGAAGAGGATGTGAGTCAGTTTGATTCAAAGTTTACACGTCAGACACCTGTTGACAGCCCAGATGACTCAACTCTCAGTGAAAGTGCCAACCAAGTCTTTCTGGTAAGCAAAATAAAGGATTTATTTTAGATCCGTTATTCATAGGGTTGCTATATGTCATAGTTTACTTGACAGCACTTAACAATAATGAAATGGGTTGACGGAGTGGCTGCAGCTGTGTGCTTAAGCAGAGCAGGATTTATGAGAATGGTGCAGGATTGAGTAGTCTTTTTCTCTTATAAATGGATTGCAGGAATCAAAGACAACTCACTGTAGTACTTAACATTAATGGGAAAGATCCGTGAATGAGGTTGGGCCTTTTGATAAGTTAGCTGGATTGCTTTGCAATCTAAGTAAATTGAGGTGTTTTCAGGTATTTGTTTTTAAAAAGCCATGCACTGCATTTTAGCAGAGTAAGTATTTGGAGTGTATGATTGCTTTTTTATAGTTGGATACTGAGTTAACATGATGTTTGGCCCTGCAACACAACCGAAAACCACCCAGCCAACTGGTGAGAGAAGAGAGCTCAGTAACTGCTTAATTCTTGAAACAGCAACAGATTTATAGTACTCTTTACAGAAGTCTGTTAGGGAACTCTTAGCCTGTTTAATTGTCTGTATCTGACATAAAAATATATTCATTTATACTTGATAGTAAATAGATTGCTCATTGTTGACATATCTCAGTGGATTTATAGCTTATCTTCACAAATGGAAATGCAAAATTTTAAAGATAGTAATTAACAAAAATGATTACTTAGATTATTGTTATGTACTGTTGTGTAGGAACTGAATCTTAGCTGACCCTCCAGCAGGCATTCAGAGGCTTTATAAATCACAAGATTTATAAACAAAGATTGCTCATCTTTCTCCCATGGAGCAACTGGTATATTCAAACCATGTGTCTTTGAGTGGTAGTGCAAATCTTTACCACCAGAGTTCCATATATCAGATAGATAGATACCTTACTGAATCTTAATTACCATAATTCTTTTTTATTATTAATCTTAACGGATGTTTACAGAGACTTTGGATTCCCATTCATTCATTGTTGCATTTTTCTCCCTGCCTACCCCTCCCCCCCAATTCACTCTTCTCTTTGAAAAGTAAAAGAAGAATTCTTTCATTGTTATACAATCCCTCCCCTCAAGTCCACTCCACTATGCAGCCCTTCATTCTGGACTCCTGTCATGATAATAATACCTAATCATATATCGCTTTTAAACAGTTCTCTCATCTGTTTCAATGCATTATACATTATTTATTCCCTCTTTTCAGTCTCCCCCAACCCTGATGTCAGTCCCGTTTTATAACAGTGGCACTATGCAATATTTGTCCTTTTGTGATTGACATTTCACACAGCATAATGTCCTCCAGGATCATCCATTTTGTATATTTCATGACGTCTTTGTTTTCCAGTGCAGCATGGTATTCCATTGTGTGAATATACCAGAGCTTCTCTATCCATTTATTTGTTGATGGGCACTTAGATTGTTTCCAACTCTTTACTATTGTGAAAAAAGCCACCATAAACATGGGTTGCATATATCTGTTTGGCAGTTATGGCATCTTTAGGGTATATTCCCAGTAGTGGAATTGCTGGGTCAAATGGTATCTCTATTGGCAACTTTTTCGGAAAGCACCATACAGCCTTCCATAGTGCTTGCACCATTTTATGCTCCCACCAACAGTGAATAAGGGTTCCAGTTTCTCTGCAACCTCGCCTGTATTTGATGTTTCCTGTTCTGTTAAATTTTGCTGTTCTTACTAGGGTGAGATACCTCATAGTTGTTTTTATTATTGTAATTCTTAATTGTTGTGACACCCAGCTTATCAGTGACTAAAATGATGTATTTGAAGAGGAACTGGCAGTGATTATTAAAGGGATGAATATAGACAGCAAGATAGGTGACAGCTGGTAGCTTAAATGCACAAAACAGAAAAATGTGGTAAGAGACAGAACTAACACTAATGAAAGTGTTTTTTGCCTGTTGTAATGAGAGTGTTCACAGCTTCAGTTTGCTCGGCTCCACAGTCAACACTCTTGGCACCAGCAGTCAGGAAATCAAAAAGCGTATCGCGATGGGAAAGTCTGCTGTTAGGGACCTCTCAAAGGTACTCAGGAGCAACAGTGTCTCTCTGGAGACTAAGGTGCGCCTGATACAGGCCATGGTCTTTGCAATCGCTTGTTATGCATCAGAGAGTTGGACAATGACTACGGAGGACAGAAGGACAGTGCATGCTTTTGAGCTGTGGTGCTGGAGAAGGGTACTGAATGTACCATGGACTGCCAGGAAAACAAACAGATTCATCTTGGAGAGGATTAAACCAAGCTACTCCTTGGAGGCAAGGATTCTGGGGCTTCGTCTGACATACTTTGGACATGTTGCCAGGAGGGACGGGTCCTTGGAGAGGGACATCATGCTTGGGAGGGTGGAGGGACAGCGCAGGAGGGGAAGACCCTCTATGAGATAGATCAATTCAGTGACTGGGGTAATCGGGATGGGTGTGTCAGAGGCAGTGCGGTTGGCGCAGGATAGAGCAGGGTTTAGGGCTGTTGTGCATAGGGTCGCTATGAGTCGGAAACGACTCGACGGCACATAACAACAACAACAATGATGGTTTTTATAATGTTGACCATTAATTCTCAAGAAAATACCAAAGTAAAAAATACCAAAGTATGTCCAGTCATTGGTACAAAACCAGAAAGATCATACATGTCCAGTTAGGAAATTCTGCTTTTACTTTTGACCTAATTCTGAGAAACTGCTTTGGGGGTTAGTATTTGTTGCTTAAATTTATGTGACAAAGAACACAAGAATTTTCTTTGGCATTTGACATTTTAATGTGGCACCTATATTTTTCTGGGTTGGTTGTTTTGTGTGTTTTTTTCTCCTTTCCCTGCTCCTCCTATTTAGTAGAGTGAAATTTTATTTGCTGGCTTATGGGGCTTAGTAGGATTTTGATTTTTGGATTTCTGTGCATCATACAATGCCTGGAGAAAAGGCAATGGGTGTACACATGAAACTGAGGAAATAAGATTCTAAAAATGAAGTCAGGAGTAGAGAGTTAGTGATATTAGTTGTACAGCATTGTGTTCATATTGCAGACACTGAACAGCCATAACCCTCTAATATACATGAGAAATTACTATTCTTTAGTCTGCATTTTGTTTCTTTCAGGGCTTTACATATGTGGCTCCATCTGTACTTGAAAGTGTGAAAGAAAAATTTTCCTTTGAACCAAAAATCCGATCACCTCGAAGATTTATTGGCAGCCCACGAACACCTGTCAGGTATTTTAGATTTTATTCTCAGTGTTTTGTTTACTCGTTTGTTTTACTCTAGAAGAGCATTACTTGAGGAATTTTTGGCAGATTATATAAATAAAAGCTTTGTCATAATTTTCTTTAGTTAACACAGTATCTTATATGGGAAGTAATTAGTCTGTGACATTGTTACAGGGTTTAACTTCAATCTTAAATCCACCTGCTCCACTGTTAGATGTCTCCTTTATGTACATTGTCATGCACTAAGAGTTGTGCTGGATGCTGACTACACATGTGATTAACACAGGAATGACCTTTACCCTTAAACTTAGGTTTTAGTGGAAGAGAATTCCAAGTAACAAACTAGTACTCATAAACATGAGATTACAGATAGTGTCAAGCGTTATAGAAATGGAAATAAAGAGTGCAGTGGTAGAGAACAAACAGTAACAACTCAGGGTGGTCAACAAAGGCCTCTTTTCATGAAGTAACAGTTAGGAACTGAGAGAAAGCCATTCACACACAAAAATAGGAGATTCTGCACAGGCAGAACAACAGAAGTACATACAAAAGCCCCGAGGGAGGAAAATAACTGGCCATTTTTGACAAATAAATGTGAGATTTATGATCTAGAAGTGTGATGAGTGAAGAAGAGAATGGCCAAGGTTTGGAACAGTAATTAACGTTAAATTCAGTAGGACACTTGTAAACAGGCATAACATGGTTTAATTTGTATTATCCCGGAGAACGCTAAGAAGGTAGTGTTCAGTTAGGAAACATTAGCAGTTAGTTCAGTAGAGATGGTGCCTTTTTGCTAATCTACTAAAAAATAAAATTAAATTAACAAAACCGTCATTATTATCCCACAGTCTTTCAATGTAAAAGTATTATTTTCTGTTGATGATCTTTAAGATAAATCAATGATAGCTCTTCCTTGTCTTAAAGCCCTGTCAAATTTTCTCCTGGGGATTTCTGGGGAAGAGGTGCTTCAGCCAGCACAGCAAATCCTCAGACTCCTGTGGAATATCCAATGGAAACAAGTGGAATAGAACAGATGGATGTGACGATGAGTGGGGAAGCATCAGCACCACTTCCAATACGACAGCCAAACTCCGGGCCATACAAAAAACAAGCTTTTCCTATGATCTCCAAACGGCCAGAGCATTTGCGTATGAATCTATGACAGCAATGCTTTTAATGAATTTAAGGTGAAAAAAGTTCGGATGTGTAAGCATCCTACAAGGTGAAACAAGACAGAATGGCAGTCTCAAGGAGTCAGTGTCATTATACAGAACACTTTGACCAGAAGGAAAAAGAGACATGGCTTTTTAAAAATCAATCAATGGTGCAAAAAAAAAAAAGAAAAAAAAAAGAGACGAAACTTAAGCAAAATAGTGTTGTGGAACTCTTAGGCACATCGATTAATTGATTCCTTGCGACATCTTCTCAACCTTATCGAGGATTTTCATGTTGATGGCTCAAAACTGACAGTATTAAGGGTAGGATGTTGCTTTTGAATCACTGTTGCATTCTGATTGTGTCGAAGAAGGGTTATCTTTTCACTAGGCAAAGTATGAAATTGCCTTTAATACTTGCAACTAAGGACAAATTAGCATGCAAGCTTGGTTAAACTTTTTCCAGCAACATGGAATCAAAGACAGAAGAAACCTATCAGTTGATGTTTTACGTGCAAACAACCTGAATCTTTTTTTAATATAAATATATATATCTATGCATCACAGTCTTTTGTTTTTTTGTAGAGAACTCAGCCTAAGACAATATTCTTCACTCTGAAACGAAGACAATTTTAATATAAATATATATTTTTCAAATAGATTTTTGATTCAGCTTATTATGGAATACATCCCAAACTTTAAAATGAGAAATTATTGGTTGGTGTGAAGAAAACCAGACAACTTCTGTTTCTTCTCATGGTGAAATAATAAAATGCAATGAATCATTGTTAACCACAGCTGTGGCTTGTTTGACGGATTGGGGTGGAATTGGGTTTTATTTTCAGTAACCCAGCTGCAATACCTATCTATAATACTGGGGTGGGGGAGAATGAATCTATTTAATTCTTTCTACTTGCAGTACTGCTATGTGCTACACTTAACTGGAAGCCTTTGAATGGGCATAAGTTGTATGTCCTGCATTTCATCCTTGTCTTGGGTCTACATTGCACTGGGGGAAAATTACCACCTATTCTTATACCAGTATTTGGTTCAAGACACCAAATTTGTTCAAAGGGAAGACTGAAGAGTGTCAGGGAAGAAAATGCATATTGAGGACATTGTGAGGGAGGATAGGGATCCAGGGGAAGAGGGTGTTGCTGTGGTCCACTCTCTGTCTGACTGCTTTCTAGCAAACTGACAAGGTTTTAAGTTTTACTTCTCTTTACTGTTTACCTTCTATGTATTTTTTTCCTCAACAGTTTTAAAAAGGAACAAAGGTCTAATATTTTTTTTTCCTATACTGGGGCTGCAATTTTTGATTGTAAAATATTTGATGGCCTTTTGATGAATGTCTTCCATAGTGAATAAGAAAACTTAGTGGCTTAATTTAAGAACTGTTAACAGGACACTATGTTTTTGAAATTGTAACAAAATTTACATAAATGATTTACAGGTACAAAGAATAAAATAAAGGTAACTTTACCTTTCTTAAATACTTCCTGCCTTAAAGAGAGCATTTCCATGACATTAACTGGTGAAAGGGTTTAATATCTGCAGAGCTTTATAAAAATAAACTTCAGTGCATACTGGCATTAAAAGATGATCATGCAGTTAAGTCTTATCACCTCTTTTTTGGTTTGTCTTTTCTAATGTCTTCAGTTCAAGTGTTCCAAGTCATTTGTAATATTTTCAGTCTAGATTTTTTTTTTTAAAAAAATTGATGCTGCTTGCTGTTTTCTCCAGACCTTTTTGAGCCATAGGATCCAAGCCATAAGATTCTTTATGCATGTTGAATTCAGTCAGAAAAGAGCAAAGCTTTGCTAAAATTCAAGTGAGATGGGATGAAATCCTATCACAGTAAGCAAAAAGAGACCCATGAAAAATGACTGACAATAAACCTTTTCAAATGTGGCCATAAATGAGAGAGTAATAGTTCAATTTTGGACAGACAGCCTTTTTTAAAAAAGAATACCCACAAAACCACCTCCACAAAACCACCTTCTTGAGCTTCTTTTCTCCCTTATGGCAGCAGTCTACTGAGAACTTTATAGCTAGGCAATTAGAAGCTACAGTAATTAAGGGCAGAAATTGGAACCTAAATGCAAATTATTGTTGACAGTTATGTTGTCTGAAGAAATGGAAAACACAAGATGCTATGGTGGTTTGCCCTGGTTTTATTTCAGGCTGCAGATGGCTTGTGGTGTTCTAATAACTGGTTTTCAAATGTGTTTACTAATAATTTCTAGTATTGACTACCTGACCAAATTCCAGTGACACTTCTACACCAAAATATTCATTCTCAGTTCTTTGGCGAGAAGCACCGTGACTGGCTTCTTAACTATCCTAAACTGTTTTCATAATTAGTACTGTCAGTAATGTTGGCAAACACTGCAGATTTTCTTCTTAAAAAGCATCAATTATATACCTATCATGCACAAAAATAGTTTTTCTAACATTAAGTGAAACTAAGTTCCCATGTCATGACAAGTTCATTGAGAAATTGTTTCATAAATGGAAATCCCTACTGTGACTGAAATATGTCAAGTGCCACATTGGTGTCACAGACAGAAAGCACACACCTATGCAATATGGCTTACCCTGTATTTATTTGTAAAAACTCAAATATAGTTTATTAGTCGTCTTGAGTGTCTAGGAGAGTTCTTTAGGATTCTTCCAGGTAAGTGCATAAAAAAAATTAAGTGCTTTTCTTTCATCACTTATTTCTTTAAAATCAGCTATTACAGGATATTTTTATGCAGTTTTTAATTAAAATATAATCACAGAGAATGGAGTTTATGAATTTGATTTTATAAGATTTGTGTTACAGAATATTTGAAAATTTATAAACCAGGTATGTTTAACAAAGTATTAATCATTGAACTTGAATCAAATTTTAAGAATCAGATTTTATTCCCCTCCTCCCCCCCGATGTGGTCTGTCTTCATCTGAATCCTATACAGATGATTTTCCCATGCTACTTTTTGAGATAGAATATTAATTTGGAGAAGAAAATATGCATGTCTGTTTACTCCATAAATTCAATGTTCTTTACTGTAGGTGATAAATATTAAGCAAGATGCATCTAATATAGCATTTTAATACCCTGAGCCTTGATTTTGTATTTAATATAGGGCTTATTTTAGATATTTAGTGTATGGTTCTTAGCTTACAAAGGGCTAGATTTAAGGTTATTCCCATGAGAAATAAAGAATTTATGAAGAATAGCTTTTGAGGCTTCAAATATGGTTCTTTTTAAAAAAGTCCAAACACCTACTCTCTTCCTTAAACACTAACAAGCTGGACAAAAATACTATAAAAATATGTGACTCGCATAGGACCTCAGGTCTGTTGCGGGTTATTAACACTATTTTTCTTGTGTGATTTTTAATTTCCCACTGTAGCACAAGTATTTTCTCAGTGGATTAACATGGGTGGCATCTGAAATATGGATTCATCTGTTTGTGTTTGCTCTTTAAAACTATTCTTTTTCTTCTATCCCAAGTTGGCTTTGCATCTATCAGATTAAATTCTTCAGCTGCCTTATTAGGAGTGTTATGAGGGTGGTAACACTTTTTTTGCTTTTCATCTTGTATTTAGTTTAATGTATTAATTTTATTTCGGATTGAATGACTGTAAATAGAAATTAAATACAAATTTGAATAAACATAAAACAGTGATTTTTCTTTTTAAATTATTTTAAGATAGGAAAAAATAACAGTATACACAGATGGTTTTTCATAACTTGTCGGATGCATCAAGATTCTCCTATTTAATAAAGTTACTTTAAAAATGAAATGACAGTTGCAAAACAGTTTTTGCTGAGAAGCTGAAGATATTCTAAGTCTTGGTATTAATGTTTATCTGTTGGGTGGTAATGGGCAGTTTCCAAGTTCTGTTAAATAGTGGACTCAAACTGGTTGCTTAAACAAAGTTTACATGAAAAATTAAGTTTCATATAAGAGCAGTAAGACTTTGTCAAATACATTTTATTATTCGATGTATATGCATAAAATAGCGTATGGCACAAATATTTTAACTAATATCTCAGTACATTCATATCACAGGAATTTGACATAACCTGTATAAACAGAGTTCTTTGGTAATTAGATGAAATCTCTAGAGAAGCTGTCAAACTTTATCTTTTTTTAAAATAGTGGCATTCTCTAAATGCTGGTAAAACAATTTTCTTTTCAGAAGGCATGGTCTGAGTACACAGTTTCTTAATCCATATTTCCCTTTGAGAGGAATAAGAAAAGTAGAGAAATGCCTCCAGTTTATCAACATTGTCAGTGAATGTAATAGTTTTATTACATTTTCCCTTTTTATTCATCTGTGAATGTTCTTATTCCTTCAAAAAAGTGTATTAAGAAACAAAACTATCAGAATTAACTATAGACTAGTTTGTTGTGTACCATCGAGTTGGAACTGATCCATAATTGACCATCATGTGTTCACAGGCAGTCAACCGAGCTCCCTATAAATTCTTAAGTGCCATCAAGTTGGAACTCACCTATAGCTGACCCTCCAGTGGGTTTTTAGACATAGTAAATCACATGGAAACTGACTGCCCATCTTTCTTCACAGAGTAGCTGATGGATTAGAATTGTGTGCCTCTTGATAGTGGTATGGCAGGTATGGTAAATAGATACGGAAGTGTCTGGTGGCCTACTGGATAGGGTGTTGCACTGCGAACTCAGAGGCAAAATTGGTAGTGTCCTTTTGGGTGATTTATAGCCTGTGAAAACCTGATAAACTCAAAACTTAGCAACTTGATGGCAGTGAGTTAGTGAAGTTATCAAATGGTATCACTTGTGAATCCTCAACTGTTTAAAAAAAAATCAACCTCAATTACTATTATTTTAAATATAGAGTCCATGGCACCATATAAAAAATGAGTATTAAAGCCAAGAGCAAAATGCATGTGAATATAAATAATTTATTACTGATTACTAATCATACCGTAAAGAATACAATATTAAAATATATCCTCAGAAAATTATTTTTTTACTTCGAAAATCTGATTATTAAAGTAAAATACGGTATTTAGAACTTCCATTTAAAAATAGAAATTTCATTAAAATTTCAGGATTTATGAGGATGGGAGTTATACAATCAGTGTTAAAGAAGATTCTGGTTTCAGGCAACATGTATCTTCAAATATTATGAAAAATATTTTTTAATTTGAAAATAATGTCAGGAAAGAATACCTGAGTTTTTCTACAACCATTATTTCTAATTTCTGTTTTGGTGAAATTAACAAGAAAACACAATTACATGTTTAAAAACATTTCTATTTTAACACTGTACTCACCTGTCCAGTAATTGGAAGAAATGCTGGATACATACTAGTTTTGAACATTACTTACATATTTATAAAAATATAAGACCTTAAACTAAATTGGACTATGCACTTACATCTTACCTAAAAACATTTGAAAATCTTTTCCTTTTTGCCATGAAAACTCATTCTAATGCCTTTATCAATAGTCACGAAAGCCAAATATAGTATTTTGTGTCTTTAACAGTTCCTAAGATTTAATATACTTGAAGGTGTGAAGAAGTTGCTCCATCTTTCCATTTGTTTATATGTTCTGAAATTACAGTTCTGCATAGAGGACATGTTTTCTCTCTGTTAAACCATAAGGCGATGCATTCTTCACAAAATATATGCTGCAAGGGAATTAAAAACGAGAGTTTATACTTAGTAATTAAGATTTATTAACTGTAGAAAATCATACTCTTTAGAGCTAAAGGAATTTTGTGTAGAGTAGTAATCCTCATTTTAAAAATGCGAAAAGTACTAACATATTTAAAGACAAATAATGTAGAAGATCACTTATTAAAAAAAAACTAGCGAAAGGTTTACATACAGAGAATCAATCTAATAGTTACAGACGGGAGATGGAGTAGAAAATCAATGGATAGGCAGTGAACACTGTATTAGAATAAATTAAGGACAATGTGGAATTAATATATAAATTGATTATATAAATTAATATATAAAATGAGATGCATGATTGAGTTTAAAAAGCTAAGGAAATGTTTACACACAGATTGAAATAATTTTGGAGGGTTGATGGAAGAAAAGTGTGTGATAGAGGCGCAGAAATTAGTGGAAAGGCAAGGTAAAATGAGGATTTGATGGGATATAATAAATGGTACTGGTCAATTTTAAATGTTATAAAACAAAAGCAAAAAAAAAAGCAATTAAAAAAACACCACAAAACAGGTCAGAACAGGTTAGTGGTGGAATCACACAACTAAATTCTTTTTACTGTATACATTTACCATTTATAATAAAATACAAGTTATCCTTAGGTGACATACCTTTTAAGATAAAAGTTATTAACACATAAGAGCTTAATAGTGATGAAGAATAACTGTCATAAGGTATAGAGAAAAGCCTTAATGCAATAACAAATGCTGGTGTTTTAAAAGACTAACATCCAGTTACGAAAAATCCCATTTTCCAATCATCTTGGTTTCTAATCTGCCAGTTAAAATACCTTTTCATACAGTTCTCTGCATAAAAGCCATCACAACATAAGGCACAACATTTAGTCCATTTACCAAACCTAAATCAAACATGAAATTACTAGTCTGTATTCTGGATGCCATCTTCCACTGTATTTTTTTTTTTTGCTTTTTCCTTATAACTGACATGATTGTGCAAGTCATAGAGAAGGAATTCTATAGAGATGTATGTTATTTAAAAATAAAATTACCTGACAGATAAGCAGAATTGGCTTCTGAAATTCAGCTTGACAAATTGAACAAATATCATCCACATCTGAACACTGTCTCTTGCTGGCAGCCACCCCATAACTCTATGAAGATAAGACAGTCTGCTCACTTTCAGTTTCTTTCCCGTTTTTGTAATAGGTGATGTTCAACTTCTCAAATCTCCCTTGAAATTTTCCCAAAGGGTACAAACATTTCAAAGTAGAACTACACCTTAATGAATTGCAAGAAATAAAATCCTTGTACTGTTACATTGGCAATCAGGTCTAGGGAATTCTCAAATGATGACAGTGTTTAAATTCAGCACCTCAATTAAAAGACTAAGCAATCGGAAATAAGTTATTACAGAATTTATATTCATATCTAAAACCCCAGTACTGCTAAACTGAACTCTGTTAATTTGGTGGAGCACTGGTGGCTCAGTGGTAAGAAGCTATGTTGCCAATGCAAAGGCACATGGTTTGGATACACCAGCTGCTCCTGGGGAGAGAAAATTGCTCCTTGCAATTTTCTGCTTCTGAAAACCCACAGGAGGGGTTTGCTATGAGTCAGTTCTGATTTGATGGTACTTAACAGTGTATCTTCATTTGGTGGTGGTTTCACAGAAAGTTAATCCTTACCATGCTGAATGACTAACTCACCTAGAGTGCTTATTTTAAAACTACAGATTTCTATTTTATACTGGAGGATGAACGTCCCGGTAGGTCCAGTTATACTAAGATAGGATCCAGGAATCTTGCAAGCTCCTCAGGGAGTTCAATGTGAAGAAAGCTTGGGACTACTGAGCTCTGCCCCAAGTACCATTAAATCTAAAATGTTACTACCCATCCTTAATAATCACATAAGTCAGAAAACAATACTGGGAAATGAATGATGAAATCTGAAAAAGAACTATATATATAACAAGTAGAGCCAAGAATTTTAAAACTGAATAAATACTTCCAATCCCTTAAATTGTATTTTAAAGTCCAAAAAATTGTTTTTGATCTCTTAAGATCTTAACTTTAACAGCAAATTTAGCACAACCTACTCATTAACTAAATGTGACAGTTATGACCCCTTTGTGAAATTTGGCAGATTAAGAGATCAACTTTCTGTAAAACAACAGGAAAGGGATAGCTAAGGATATACAAGAATACTCAACCACACTCATAGAAAATGAGAAGAAAACTGCCTGTTTCAGCATAGCTGATGCTATAATCTAAATGTCTTATAATAATGTCTGAGTCAACCCAAGGATTGAAATATTAGGAATTTTTGAGGATTTTGGTACCTATATCCCTTTGTAAAATGTCATTTCCCAAAAAATTTGTTCTGTAAGAGACTACACTGGATGGTTAATACTGACAGGATTTTAAAGCATAATTCTTATCTGGTATTTTCGAGATTACCTCCAAGACTTACCCTGATGGTGCCTGCCATTTCTCTGATAAAGTTAAGGAACCATGTGTAGGCTGGCTATCTCTAGAGTATATCTAAAGAGTAGCTACTATGTCACAGGCTTACTAATATATTATCCGTCTTAGTGGAAGATGGCTGGAATATTTTTTTTTTCTATACTTTGCCTCCTAAAGAAAGGATATCAGTATATTCCTGGGTTTATTTCAGCGTAAGCTTTACTATTACATTAATTAGTGAAATGGCAAATACTCAATCATCATCTTTTAATTAAGTTGGCTAAAACCAGACTTTTTATTTTATCTTGTCTAAACAAAGTCCACAAAGGATGTAAAAAAATTCCACACTGGAAAAGAGTGCTTTGTACAGGTACTCTGGTCCACTGTATAGGTAAAATAATCATTTTTTTTAAAACACAAAAGAAAAATAGTAGTACATTATTAGGTGTCCCTTAGCCCTGACAAAGTAATTGTTTATAAACCTAATATAGTGCTAAGTTGAGGATGTGACCATACCTAAGTACTGGGAACCTTTGGGGCATTCTGATTAGCCGAATAATAGTTGAGAGATGCAGAGTCAGTATTTATGGACTCAAATAAGAATAGGGGGTGGAAGTTCAGAATTTTTACAGATTTGTTTAGAAACCTTGAACATTTTAGCTGATTAAAAGGGAAATAAAACCACAAGCATTACAACAGGTAAGGTGGCAGTCGACATGCAATTTAAGAAACTTGACCACGTAAGTAAAGTCCAAGTCATTATCATAGCCCTGAGTGTCAAAGTACTTAGAAAAGTAATCTCAAAGTAAAATATCATCTAATTATAAATTACATACTTCTAAAATATTTTATAGTGATATAAAATGCTTTTCTCTTTATATGGTAAGTACTTACAGGTCGAGTAAAAAATATTTGCAAAACCTGCCTGAAAGTTCTCAGATGTCTAAAAAAGTCCAAAAGCTGAAAGAAAGAAGAGATCATGTATTAATTCAAAGACCTCTACTGTCAAAGCTGAACTCCTATAATATAGACTCCTGCTACCTAACTCAATGCTCAATCCTGATATTTAGCTTGATGCCGACTGATTATGAAATTAAACAATTATTGAATATTTTACTCAACTTACTGAATTCAGCCAACTTTTAACCATACTGAAGTACCTTTAAGTGTTTTGAGTTGTAATTTGATCAAGAAAAATAAAAATTAGGTCAAAGCTCAAGAGGAGATTAAAATAATGTTGCTTAGTTCATGTGTTTTAAACATTTAGATGCTAAGATTTGATAAAATGATTTCCAAGATGAAGGGAATAAGACACAATTCTCCACTAGTTTAAAAACTATGTGTATGAACATAAATGTTGGTAAGATACATGTTCTATTCTACTTTCTACCTTAGTATTCCAAGTTTGGTGGAGCTTCACCATGCTCCTTCCACATCAGTGAACAAAACACGTGGAAATATATTTTCATTTCTTCTATTTTTAATAGATAAAAATCTTGACATGTCAAAATACTGGAATGAATATAAAATAAACTATAAAACTATTAAAGGGAAAGTATTAGTATGTAAGTCTAATCATATGAATCATTATCCAATTATCAGGGAGATTTATAATGATACCTACTTTCATTATGAGGTAGAGTAAAGCCAGCAATATCCCCAGACTCCATCTTGTTACATTGCCAAACTCCCCATAGCTTATAAGATAACGAAACCAAACTGGTATGGGAACAAAAGTTCGGTAGTACTGACATAATTCTTCTAAAAGCATGTACCAGAAACCCTAAAAGAGGAAAAAGAAATACATACACAAGTTATGCACAAATACTTCATTTTGGCCAGAGAACATAGATACAATTTTATTTTCATATGTGACAGTCAATAAATGGTTTGCTTTCCAAGAATTTCTAAGGAAACAGTGAAAATGCAAAGTTATATATATATATATATATATATGAGAACACAGCAGATAAAAGCATAGTTATCAACTGATAATTTCGAAGAAAACAAATCTAATTTCTAAAGGAATAATTTAAAGCAGTAACAGCACTGATATATTCTGATAACACTATTACAATGTTACAAAACTAGTTTCTTACCTTGGATTTAAAAGGTATGAGGAAAGAAGGCACCAGTAAAATAAGACATTTTAAGCCCATGAAAATGAATTTCAGAATAAAGTCTGTAATCCCAACAATCCAAAGTATTTCCCAGAAGCTCAAATGGTCCAAAGCAGGTTTTAAAAAAATTAAGCTAACAAGAGAAAAACAAACATTTACCAAAGCAACAGACAAAGGTAAATGATTAATAGACATTTTAAGTTTGCGACTACGTATTTTAATTTCTTGTGTAAAAAGTAGGACATTGGCAAGATGATGTCAGAGTTGATGTTAAATTAGTGAGAGGTATTTTTTATTTTAAATTGACTTCAAATGCTTGCATTTCAAGTATTTTTCCCCATAGGATAAAGCACATGTAATATTCCAACCAATCTTTATAAATAACACAAACCTTAACTCTCAAAAATTCAAATACATTATATTTAAGTCAGAAATAACTGGCCCTCCAGCTGTTTTTTTGAGGCTGGTAAATCTTACAGGAAAAGACTACCCATCTTTCTCCCACAAAATAGCTGGTGGATTAGAATCACCAGTGGTGCACCAGCAGCCTAACTCTACAGACTACATCATCAGAACTTTGCTTATAAATACTGCTGTTGTGTGCTGTCAAGTCAGAAGTGACTCACAGCTGACCCTCTAGTGGGTTTTCAGAAGCAGTAAATCACATAGGAGATTGCCCATCCTCTCTGCAATTCCTATAAGGATTTCATCTACTCTTCCCACAGTGAATTGCTTTTGTCAAGACCTTTAACTTCCTCTGTTACTGAGTTCAAAGGTAATTTCTTTCATTTTCCTCAAGGTGTTTTTAAGACTGTCCCAATACTAATATATCACTATTGATTCCTTCTAAATGTATTTGCTGTTCCTCTGGCCTATTTTTAATTTTGGATACGCCCTGTCGTGGGCTCTTTTTATCTGCTTTCCTTGGTCATTCTCATCTAGTCAGCAATATGCTCACACCATTAATTGACAGCCCTAAGCTTTACCCTGAGTTTCTTAGATTTGTTTAATTATTTCAAGACCCTCAAAACAAAATTAATTTTCCTCTCAAAACCAATTCTTCAGTCTGAACATCCATTAAAGTTGCCCAGGCCAACCACCCTTGGGTCACCCTTGATCCCCACCCCTAATCTAACCTAATCTATCAAGGAAACCTATTTGCTCTACATCTGTATTCCAGATTTGTTCATACCTGTCCAACTCCAGTGAAAACAGAACTTAGAACAAAGCTGAAATCTGAAACATTCCGATCTAACAGAAAAGAACAACTGCCTCTGAGTTCTTCACCTTAGCTTAGTTCTAGAAACATTTTTAAAAAAAATAAACAAACCACAAAACACTAACAGACTTACAGTACTTAATAAACATTATATAAACAAAAATGGAAAAAAACACCCCAAAATGTAAAGTCTGTTTACTAAGGCACTGAGGATAAAAATCTGAAGACACTCAGAACTCAATCTTGCAAGGAGAAAAATAAAAATGAAGTATGTACAATCAATATGTTTACAAAATAAAAGTGCTATGGGATATATAAAAACATTTAAAAAAACTGTGTACTTGGACTCTTAATTACCTGTAATAAAGTGACTGAGAATTAAAGGCATAATATAAAAGAACAGAAGATCCTGCTAAGAATACCAGTAACCAAGCACACTGAATCTTTGAGCACCTTTCCTGAAAGATAAACAATTTTATAATTTGTTACTTTGAATTATACCATAATTTTAAATATTATTAAACTTTTACCTTAAAAGTACAGAACTAAATCATACATAAATGCTATATATTTTCAGTGAATGAAACTTAAAATTCTCAAGACACATACTTCTTCACTACATAGAAAATACTGTTTTAAAGGAAGCTTTTTTTATAAATTAAAAGACTAGCCAAATGCATATTTTATGTGCTTATTCTTAAAATGGAATCTCTAAAATGTATCTCAGTAGATAAGAGTTTTATCATTTTATAATTTAGATTATTCAAATAAGTAGTAAGACAGGCTGACCTTACTTGTAAAATAAAAAATTTTAATTACAACTTTTAAGGGTTAATTTTTTTTGTTTGATAAATATTTGACTACCAATGTCCAGGAAGAAAACAAGTTCTTTTATATATACATAGCTCTTTCAAAGTGCTTTAAAGTGAAATTTTATCAACTATTTTTCCCAATGATTTAAGTGACTAGTATTCCTGAATGTCATGTGAAAATGTCTTGGTTTTCATTTTCTTTAAAGAGAAACTTAAGCAATTCAGTACCAATTTATTAAATGACATATTTATTTTAAATCCTATAGTGCATTGGGACCCTGGTGGTGGAGTGGTTAAATCTCACCTGGTAACTAGAAGGTTGGTGGTTTGAATCCACTGCCACACCACAGGAGAAAGATGTGGTTGGCTGTTTCCATAAAGATAGGTTCTTAGAAATCCTATGTGGTAGTAGTATTGTGTCCTGTAAGATTGCTAGGAGTTAGAATTCTCTTAATGGCAGTGGGTTTGGCTTTTAATGCAACAGCTAGTATTTAATAACTATATCAGTAGGTTCTTGTGTGATGCAAAAGGTCTGTGTTCACTTAATGGTCGGTGGTTTGAATCAACCTAGCAGCTCCATAAAGAAAAGCCTAGCAATCTGCTTCTGTAAAGATCAGACAAAATCCTATGTAGTCTACTGTGTTACAAAGCCATCATGGGTTGAAAGTGATTCAAAAGCAACAAGATTTTTTATTTGTGGTGTGCCATGGAATTGATTCAGACTCATAGCAATCTAGAACAGAACTGCCCACAACAGGATTTCCTAGGGTACAAATCTTTATGGAAACAGACTGCCACATTTCTCACAGTTCTTAAGCAGCTGGTGAATTCGAATCACTGACTTCTCAGTTAACAGTCAAGTTCTTAAACACTGTGCCAGCAGGGTTCCTTTTTATAGTCAAAAACTCACACTCACTACCATCAAGTTCTAACAAATTCATAGTGGATAAGTGGCTTTAATCACAGAGGGAGAGGCTGGCTGCCCATCTTTCTCCCACAGACCTGCTGGTGGACTGGAACCGCCAGAAGGATGGAGCCTTTGAATTAGCAGCAAAACTATGGCTTATGCAAACTGTGCTCTTTTTCTTATTAATATGGTCACACTGATTCATGAAATATGGAGCACTTGCCAAATAATCTCAAAAAGATTTCTGAATCCTGTGTAGTTATACTTCTTCATCAGGAACAAAATATATGAAGGCTGACAAAATATTCCAGATAATCTGTTTATAAAATTCAATGCATCATGGATGCTATAATTTAAATTTGTTAAATAAACTTATTTCCTATTTCTCTCACAGTGAGTATGTAATTCTACAGTGAGAAACATCTAAGAATTCTTTTGGTTGCTTAGTATACTTACTCTTAGAAAAACCTGATTTACAATGCTTTTGTTTGCATACATAAAAGTTGTTAGCAGTCCAATTCCAAGAGAAATTCCTGTTAGAAAATAAGTTAAAAAATCAAAGAGGAACGAATATATAATCTAATAATGATAAGAATTAAAAGGAAGCATGTAACTTTAAAATGTAAAAGAATTAGTAAGTTAAATACACAGGTTATGATTAAAAGAAATAAAATTAACTGAAAAACAGTTTGTTCTATAATGCCTTACCTGTTATATGCTGCATAACAAGTTTGACACTCAGAATCAGACTATATGGAAGGCTTTTTTGCAACCACTTGAAGAGAGAGCGGAATTCTGAGAAGGAGTTACTGCCATGTTCTCCCGACTCCGTAGCAGTATCATCTGGCTGCCTTGCTTCACTGTAGGCGTGACTCTGCAAGCGACTGTGTACACATCCATGGCTACAGCTGTGGACACCTGACCTTACATTTCTGGAGCTTGGATTTTGAGCACATTCTTTCGGTATGGAGTTTATCTGGATATGCACATCTCCAGAATGAAGACAAGAGCCTTCTCCTGTCAACCTTGCATATTGAGAAGCTGAGACATTCTCAGTGCCTGCAGTTCCTGGCAGACCAAGCATTTGGTTGGAGTTGGCTTGCATTGTCCTTGAATATTTTTCTCAGATCCAAGTTTCTTTCTGAGCACGCTGTTCAAGACAGATGATACTGTTTTCTATTTGTTACCAACTGAAAGAACTGCTAACAATAATAGATTAATGTTTTCAAATGATCCGTTCTTGTTTACTCTGCTGTCCTCCACAAATTTATGTAATACATGCAAAAAGGGGGGGAAACTTGCACTTGAAATGCCTCTATTTCTCTTTAACGGATAACAGCAGAACAGTCCTAAACTAAATGCCCAACAGGTATTAATGACATAAATACTAGTATTCAAATGTGTCAGAATATTTATTCAGCCCCGTTGAATCAGTTTAATCTCGGATTTCACAAAGAATGAGTGAGTATTGTCTTTCTTGGAAATGCTAGGGAGAAAAAAATTTAAAACTTTAGTTTCATCATGAGTAACGTAGGAAAAGGAGGGATTTCAATAAGTTTAGTTTTATGCAGAAACAGCTCTCCTTAAGCTACAAAAGTTTCCCAGAATTAATGATGCCCTTGCCGTCTTTCCTCATCTCCCCTCAAATGTTAAGTATCTCTCAAATAGGAACAATTTGGGAGCCAGCGTCTAATTGCTGGATGACTGAAAAGGGAGCTCATACAGCCTATTAAATAACGCCAGCGTCGTGGTGGGAGGGGGCGTAGCGACAAGAACGGGGCTGCTGCCTGGGAAGGATCCCTAGTACCTACCAGTCAGACAAACGGTAGGGGCCATCTCAGACTGCCCTACCTCGCTGTTTCTCTAGAAGGAAACTGAAATTAACGTCAGAACACGTTCTGTGTCATTCTTTTATTTCTAGTTTCACTACTTCTGTGATTACCACTTGGCAGTTGGGTGTTTTAGTGTCTTTAAGAAGGCTCAGACGGGGAACTATTTCCTTAGACCTCTGAAGACTGACGCTGTCTTAAGCTGTTTCGGTGTCTTTTACAGAAATAAAAATACAGAGACAAGAAAGAAAATAAGGCAGAAAGAAACCTAATTCCCGAAGCCAGCGTTCCGGAATTCCCAAGGCCAGGTTTCCCCCCCCCCCAGGTCCGAACTTCGGGTGACCCAGTTGGACCCAGAACTCTTCCGCGGCACCCTCCACCCTGGCCCGCTTCTCCCAGACCTGACCTCTCATGACGAAGAGCAGACAGAAGCCTTGGCTGCGACGGCGAGAGCAAGGCGTGACGCCGGTTCAGCCCCCTGAGCCAGGGCCATCCCTTAAGCCCACCATTGAGCAACTGCGGCGGTGGCGGGGCGCGCGCACTCCCCGGACGTCCTCACGCGCGCGCGCCCGCCCGCCCACGCGCCGCGTCTGCGCCCGAGGGCGCGCGGCTTCTGACGCGCAGGATCGCGGGAGGGTGGACACCGCCACGGCTGCTTCGGGGCGTTGTCTCAGAAGATAGGGCTGCGTTTCGGAACAGCCTGTAGGTGTGTGGGTGCACTTTAAATTATAAATTACCCCCATGTATATGGCGTCTTTTCATGTAATCTTCTCTACGCCTGAGGGATATGGATGTTTTGGCTGCGAAAACCAGCCTTCGGAAGGACAGGCATGAAGTAGGATTGCTGCCCTGACTGCCGAGAGAATCAAAGCGTTGCAGAGCCTCAGGAGGGCACCTTGGGGTCCCTGGAGCCTTACCCCCTGAGGGTGCCCAGGCCCCAAGTTCCGCCAAGTTTTCGCACGGGAGCCGGAGGAGCCACGTTGCTGAAGGATTATGCACATAATTGAGGAGAGAGGCGGGGTAGAGCGACAGCGCCGAGGCTTCCGGGTTCAGGTTTCGCGAGTTCAACTGCTGACCTCGTGGAGGCTGGACAGTGAACTGTGTTTTCGTTACAATTTTGAGGTTGCGCAGTGTGAACGAGGTCATGCCAAAACGTGAAGAGCTCAGAAAGGGCAATGGGGGTGGGGGTGGGGTGGCATTCGGATATGGCTCGAGGTATAAGTGGAATTTAAAAAGCTCTGTCCTCAGCTGGTTACGAAGAAACTCCATTGTCTTCTCGATAATTCTGTAAATTCAAAACTGTTCCAAAACAAAAATTCATTATGGAAACAAAGAAGAAACCTGAAACAGAATCCTGCCATTTTTCGAGTCCCAACCCAAAAAGAAGAAATTATTCTGTGTATTATTCATTGAGCCTCCCTCATGCCTGAAGACGAATACCCTTTCAGTTCAGAATCACAAACTTCTTCGCACCTTTTGTTTCTCCTTTTTATTTGCAGAATTGTCTCCAAAAAAAAGAACCCTCCAGTCTCTGTGACGTTCTTGGACTTTCAAGATTATATGTTAACCTGCTGAACGAACATGAACAGGAGTTTAAATTTGCATGCTCACACGCACATAAACACACACGAAGGTTAGGAGTTGAAGTCTAGTGAAAAGGTAATTCCTTATTTAAAACCACTCGCTTGCCCATGATCCTTAGATCGTGTGTAAATTTTGAGGCTCCTTATTCAGGAAATTGTTTGCAGTTTATTTTCTCATATATCAGAGTACAACTGAGCCCATTCTTTAATGTCAATTATCCATTTTGAGGCTAAAAATTAATTCCATTAGTTCTTCTCTTGCCAAATAATTTCCCCTGGGAAGAAAGGCACGTTTTCCCTTTAGGCCATTATTAGATCTCACTGTCTTAAGATGCTGTGCGGAATTTTGTTTTCCTCTTCTTGTAATATATTTTAATTATGTGCTTGGTTAATGTAACAAATTAGATTGATTTCTGGGCCAGAAAGACTGAGGTCTCGTGGTATAGTACAATTGGTTGGACTGCTAACCCAAAGGTCACACCTACCTCTCTTACTGGGCAGTCTCTTCCTATGGAATACAGACTTGGAAACTGTGGAGGGTCAGCTATGAATTGATTCTGACTGGATTGCAGTGAGGGTTGAGTTTACAGCTAAATGGCCAGACAGTAATGTTGGTACATTTTTCAAGGAGACTTACTTGCATACCATTTGACCTTTCCAACTACAAAAGAAATGTTTTTATCTTAAGATATATGAGAATAATACTGTTGCTGTTAGGCGCCATCAAGTTGATTCCAACATGTAGCAACCCACACTGCTCAGTCCAGCACCAGCTTCACAATTACTACCCTGTTTGGGCCTGTTGTTGTACCCACTCTGTCATTTTGGTGAGGGTCTTCCCGTTTTTCAGTGACATTTTCAGTTTGTCAAGCATAATCTCCTTTCCTAGGGATTGGTTCTTCCTCATAATATGTTCAAAGTACTTGAGATGAAGTCTTAACATCCTTGCTTCTATGGAGCATTCTGATTGTGGTTCTTCCCAGTCGGATTTATTCATCCTGGCAATCCACGACATGTTCAGTAGTCTTTACCCACATCATAATTCAAATGCATAAATATTCATGAATATGAAGGCATTGAAAATATCATGTTCATCTTGAATATCTTCCTATTCTTTGCCTACCTTCCACCTTTCCAAACATGGACCCCTCCCGAAAACATGCCCAAAGTACATGCGGTGAAGATAATATGTAACTTTTAAAATATTTTAGTATACCTGTAGACTTAATTTTAATGACATTTAAAATTTTAACATTCCTAACATACTGGATGTCTATTAGTGTATATTGAGAATCTAATAGTATACGTGGAGCACCATTTCACCCATATAAATTGACTAAAAAGTAACCTATTTGAAGAAATGAAGACTTCAGAGTTGATAACACTTGACTCAGCGAAAGATTGCTCTCTGATAAATCTTTCCACTGGGGGTTTGAAAATGGAAATTTTAATTGAATAATTCAAAGATCATTTGCTGAGTACTTAATAAGTATCAAGAATTGTAGTGAATGTTAAAAAGAACATGTATTTAAAAAGTCCTCATCTCACAATAAGTAGGTTAGACCCACAAAAAAAGAATTATAGTAGATTGTAATAAATACTGTAATTGAATGTTGTGTGAAATGCAGTAGAAGTACAGAGATGAGAACATTTATCAGGCCAGAAGGAATTCTATTTATGGTATTTGAAATAAATAATGAAGAGTAAATTAAAATTGCCAAGCACAAGCAAAGACTGATCAGTCTGTAGAGAACTAATAGTATGTATCAAGTTGTTATGTGCCAACAAGTTGCTTAAAACTCATAGCGACCTTATGTACAACAGCCCTAAATCCTGCTCTATGCTATATCAACCTTATTGTCTCTGACATACCTACCCCCGTTGCCCCAGTGACTGAATCAATCCAGCTCATCAAGGGTTTTCCTCTCCTGCGCTGACCCTCCACCTTCCCAAGCATGAAGTTCTCTGTAAGAACCGGTCCCTCTTTGTAACATGTCCAAAGTATGTCAGAAGAAGCTTCAGAATCCTTGCCTCCATGGAGCAGCCCAGTTTCACCTTCTCCAGGATGAACTTGTTTGTTCTCTTAGCAGTCCATGGTATATTCAACACTTTTCTCTAGCACCACAGCTCAAAGGCATCAATTCTCTTTCTTTCATTCCTAGTCACTGTCCAGATATCTGATGCATAGCAAGCAATTGCGAAGACTATGGCCTGGATCAGCCACACCTTAGTCTCCAGACTGACATTGTAGTACTCTAGAGAGGTCCCTGACAGGAGACTTTCCCAATGCTATTCGTCTCTTGATTTCCCTGGCTGCTGGGACCAAGAGTGTTGATTATAGAGTCAAGCAAACTAAAACTGTTAACAATATCTCTTCATTATCCATACTAATACTGCCAGTTGGCCCAGTGGTGAGAATCTTTGTTTTCTTGATGTTGAACTTCAGTCCATATTGAAGGCTGCAATCCTTGACCTTCTGCAGTAAGCTCTTCAGATCCTCCTAAGTATCAGCAAGCAGGGTTATGCCATCTGCATAATGCAAGTTGTTGATGAATCTTCCTCTAATCCTGATGCTACATTCCTCCTCATACAGCCCAGCGTCCCAGATGATCTGTTCTGCATATAGATTGAAAAGGTATGGAGACAGAATACATCCCTGGCATACACCCTTCCTGATTTTGAACCATGCAGTGTCTCCTTGCTCTGATCTGACTGCCTCCTGGTTCAAG